TATTTTTGTTGTATATTATTGATACTTCAAATGGTAGGAGCATAATTATTAATTTGTTCTGTATCATCCTTGTCATAACTCGTAATATAAAAAAAACCTGCTTGTGTGTGAAGAATATGTTGTACACCACACAAAAGTTAACAGACGAAGATAGTAATGCACTAGTCAGTGATCGAATCAGTGCCAAAAAAAGAGAGCTAACCACACAATACTACAGATGAAACCGTTCAATATAATTAGCTGACCTTTTATCACCTAAACTGACCAATTAAATTATCTTTAATTAACGAAATCTATTTATTGCTAAGTGATAAGCCATTTTTGTTCCATTGCTACTACGTACGGAGGTAACAGAAAGTTTGAACATATAGTCACTTAACTTATTTTCTACGGAGGTAATGAAACATCAAACAAACACTTTAACTAAAACATAGAACAAAGAACATTTAACATATATGTGTTTTTAAAAGAAATGTATTTTGGATTACTATTTGAATATTTCGTGCCCATTACATTCCATTAAGATTTTTTTTTCCTTATGACACAGCTTCTGAGTTCTTCTTACATGTACAATGCAACAATTATGGTGAACATTTGTTGAGTTTTTACAAGAAAGTCCTAAGCCCGTCTCAGTAAATGGGCCATTTCTATGTCAATTAAAACCCAACTTTCATTATGCCAAGTACAATGTCAAATTCAAGGGAACTAAAAGGATGTTAGAGGATGGTTAGATGAGTATAAAATTCATGATTCACAAAACACTCACAATTGATCATATATATATTTATAGTACATATAATACCAATTGGTGATATCTAACAACTCAACTCAAGCATGGTTCTAGTGTACGTGATTTCGTTATTTGAGAACATAAACTCTAAACCACGGTTCTTCTTCGACACAAATGTTTAGTTCGTATGTGATTACAAAATGTCAAAATCATTCAACTTTTATATAACTTGAATAAACAAAGGTTCTAAGCGTTTATAACTTCACAAACCACGAAACATTAGAAGCCCATCTATATGGGTTACACTTTGATCCTCGGTATTGCAAGCCCAATGGGCTACTTAGATAAAAGGGAAAAAATACTATGAATGATGTTATTTTGAGGGGTCAATTCAATCAGAAATTATGGGACCTTTTGTTTTTTTTGTCTCTTTGGATTATGCTCTCTGTGTTAACGTATCTTTTGGAAAAGTATGTGTACGAGAGAGAGGGGTATATTTAGAAAAGTCTGATATGCTCTCATCAAGTGGATTTTGTGTATGATTTATACATTGTGATAGCAATGGAGGTCCCATAAATCAAAGAGACAATATACGCTGACGAGATTCATTACATAAAAAATTGAGTTTTATAAAACCCAAAATATTAATACTTTTTTTTTTGTGTTTAAATAACGAATGGTTGGTCCTTTAAACAGGTATACACTTGACAAAGTGCCGCGTCAGATGGGCAGATTATAATACATCAATTACAATTAGCTAATATATTAGTTGTAAAAAGTTTTGTTTAATTCTTAAGTATTGTTAGATGAAGAAGTAATTAACCCATTACAATTTACAAACCAAACCTTGTTAAAGCCAAAGTGGAGATAGATTAGTGTTTGAGATATCATACAGAATATATCACTTATCTACCAAAGAAAAGCCCAAAAAATTTGGAGAAAAAGTGTGGACGAAACAAAGCCTTACACTTTCAAAATCCTATGAAGCCAAAAGGGACAACTTGTTGCTACATAAGATTTCTCACTTAAAACTCTAGTATATAACCTTTTTCTATTTTTCTTATTTATTAACTTTTCAGTAAATTTATCAATTTTTTTGTTTCTTGTTTGACAACAGAAAATATATATCAAAAGTTTATTGGGAAAATTGTGTAATTTTTTTCTTAGATTTTCTATGTATAAAATATATATAAACAAAAGTTTATTCGATAATATTCTAGATCTTGTAAATAGACGTTACGAATTCATGAATTAGTTACTTGCTATTATTTATAGCATACAAATTAGAACAGTATCGAAATCGGTATATGTGATTTGTTGCACTTTAGACAAATATTATTCGCACAGAATCGAAACGGATAATTTTCACCAATCTACTTAAAATCAGAAGATTTATATAGATTGATTAGTAGAAGAACTAAATTCTCTTATTTGCAAAACTTTTCAGTCTCCCACAAAAAGATAAAAAGAAAAGAACAAGTTCAAGTAAAAAATCGAAAACGAATCTATCAACGGTAACTTCTAAACGTGGATTGCGAAACGCTAGAAAAGGAACGAACACACACGGAAACAAAAAACACAAATCATGTGAACTAAGTCCAAACAAGACTTTTGCTACCGTACACGTGTCTTATCTTTTTAGCGATTGAGAGTAGTTTGCTAGACTAGATCGCGTGTGATTAAAGCAAAGCATTATTTTTTTGCGTTTAAGGCGGTCCAGCTCTCTCTCTCTCTCTCTCTCTGATATTTTTTCTATTTTGGTTAAGAGATATTTCTGTAATTAAAAAAAAAAACACAAAAAATAAAGAAACATTAAAGAAAATAATTATTACAATATATATATATATTTTTATATGGAGAAGATCGCTTATACCGATGAGATTTCTCACGGGAGCAAGGGGACCGCATGAACGTGGGTAAGAGATGATAACAAAATTTAAATAAATACTTTATGAAATATATTAAATAAGTTTGTGTGACAGGAAAATAATAATAATAAGTTTCTTAAGATCTACTGTAAGTGTAAATAATTAAAATATTTTTTTCTGATTTTTATGGCAATACTTTAATTGATTTTTTTTAGTGGTGGGACATTAGGGAGTGAATGAGGAAATGTAAAGATAGTGGGAGCTTTTGTTTAGTAGTTTTAAAATCTTTTTTATTTTATTTTTAATATATAATTCTTACACAAAGCAAAACAAAGATCTAAAATGTTTTTTTAATAATAATTAAAAAGAGTATTCACATGGCAATGATATAATATGATTGTTTTCCAAAGAATGCGGTAGTTTATGAATTATGATGACTTAAGTATGTTTTTTAGATTGAGTTATCGAATGACACGTTGCTTATTTAATAGATCTGACTCTGACCTCCTTTTTTTTTTTTTCTTACTCAGATCTCATAGATTTATGATTTTTTTTTAATAAACATGTATATTTTTTCGGTTATGTTATTAGGAATAAATATTAAGTACAAAATTTAAGTATATTAAATTTATAATTTTGTTATAAGTATTTACCAGTATTTTCATTTATCGAAATTTCTGAATGCTACCCATTGTTATATACACAACAAGAACGAAATGTTTTCTATTGATTATTATTTAGCATTCATATTTTTTTTTTTGGTAAATTGACGAGAGTTAGTGCCCTCCTTATATTTTATTAAAAATTAAAAAAGTCATACAATAACGTTTCTTGGCCGAGGCTAACCAACAACATCCTCGTTTAACAATGACGCCAAATCCGGCGGAACAGCATTAAAAAAAGAAAAGCCTAAAGGTAAATAAAACGCATAGTTCGCTAACCCATACGCAAGACGGTTAGCTTCCCTATACACGTGTGAAATACGGAATATTCAGTCCCTTTAGATGAAGCCATAGCACAAACGTATTATGAAGGACAGCGGATGAGAATCACTTATCCCTGTCTTAAGAAAACCAACAACTATTTCTGAGTCTACTTCTAGCTCAAGACGCGTGATCCCTCGCTCCCAAGCCATGTATAAACCATAATAGACTCCCCATAGTTCTGCTAAATGTGCAGTGCATATTATATATTTTTATATAATCATTTGTGACCTAACACATTTATATTGATAGCTTGGTACAGGGTTTGGGCTACTACTGTATGTGTCTGGTCAATTAATAACTTTCACGAATTGGGTGGATCGTTGCTTTATCTTGGTTCGGTACATTTTCGGTTTGTTTTGGTTCAATACTTCAATTCAATTTCTCATTGTATCCATCTATCATTCATCCGTTATGAAAGATTCACGAACCACAACAAATCAAACAATAATACATCAGTCTAATCAAAAACAACGATGATGAAACGCAGATTTATCTAACTTACTTTTACATTGCTTTCACGGAACGGTGTCAAACTCAAACGCAGTTTCTGACTATCATGTTTTTGAATTTTTATTGTCGTCATTAAAAATATATTATGTTTTCACCACATGATTATAACTTAATTAAATATATATTATTCTGGTACTTATAATTTTACATTAAAGTTAAATTAAATAATTGTAGAAATGACATAACTTATACTAGTTAAATACTAGAAAACCCCAAAACAAATCACTTTTATATATTATTAAAATATTTTATTTTATTTCATAACATACTATTTTATATGATTGATAAATAGTAAAATAAAAATAATTTACTCTATAAATATATTAGTCTGTTTCATCTATAAATAATATAATTAGTCCGTTTCATGCGTTACACTTACAAGCATTTAAAACTTCAGTAACAAAAACTTAACAAAAATAGTAAACCTACCATATGCTAATCTATTCATACCTAAAACTAAAAATTCCATGTTTATCATAATATTTCCTTACTATAAAATACTACAGCAAAATCTGATTTTAAATAGAAACAAAATTAAGGAAAATAAATAAATAAATAAAACCATGACATATCCAGCAAAATAAGCTACCTAAAACTAAAAATTCCATATTTATCATAATATTTCCTTACTATAAAATACTACAGCAAAATCTGATTTTAAATAGAAACAAAATTAAGGAAAATAAATAAATAAATAAAACCATGACATATCCAGCAAAATAAGCTAAGGTCTCTTGCCATATACCTAATCTCATTTTTCTCCTTGATATTTATTTCAATATAATAATTAAAAAAAAAAATCAAAATATTTTTAAAATGAGAAAAAAAAATAAAAATGGAATGGCCCTATAAATGAACAAAGGGACCTCAGCTATGTCCTCTTCTCTCGTCGTCTCTCTTTGGCCTAACCATCAACAACAACAACACACACTACCACACACTTCACGCTCTCTTCTCCTCTCACACCTTTCATCACCATCCTCTTCTCTCTCTCTCTCTCTCTATAATTCTAAATCTATGTTCATCTAGCTCTCTCTCTCCCCCCTCCCTCGCTCTTTTCGCCGCCATAGCTTCTTCACCTTCCTTCCACAAGCTGTACAGTTAAAGCTTAAGGTATGAATTGAACACGAATCTTACATATTTCGAGTTTTCGCATCTTAAATCCTTCAGATCTGTGAAATTAGGCTTTCGTGTTTTCACCAAAATTGACGGATCTGTTGTCGATTTCGTGATTTAGATTCAGATCTTGTATTTGTTTGCGTAGATCTAATCTCAAAAAAAACAATTTCATGTTGAAACAGGTTTTATAATTAATTTTAATTTTTGGAGTTTTGAATAAAAAAATCGAAGAAACGATGAATCACTTTGCCGTTCAACCAAACGCTTTCGCTGCTGGTGGAGATTTGAGAAGCTCCGTTTCAGTTGTTGAAAGAGATCAAACCACCGTCGTTTGCCCTAAACCACGTCGTATTGGTATCCGTAACAATTACCACCACCACCATCCTTCTCGATCTCTCCGATGTTTCTTCAGGTTTTGCTTTATATTCAAATCCACTTTTCAAAAAAATATCTGATTAATTCAATTTTGACTGAGTTTTTGTGGAATTTGGTGTTTTCAGTCATCAATTGGAGCTATGTGAATCCAAAGCAGAGACTGATATCTTAGATATCATACTCACAAAGGTTTGTATTCGTTTCCTTCTCCTTTGTTGTATTTTTGTTTATGTGATTTTTTTTTCTTTTTTTTTTTGAGGTGTTTGTTTTTTGGTAGGTGAGATTTGTTTATCAGAAAAGAAAAACTTTGGTTACGTTCTTGGTAAAGGATCATCTTCAATCAAGAAACGAAACCAAATAAAAATCAGTAGCAAGTCGGTTTCTTGAAAATGTTATTTTATCTTTTCATATATATAAAAAAAAATAAAGAGTAATCAATCAATCGTGTACGATTCTTGGATTATTAAAAACATGTGATGTTTGTTTTTGTGTATTAAGGACTTTGTCGAAAACTTTTAGGAATAAGACGTTTTCGAGTTAACTCCTTACAGCACATAGTGTGGGTCATCTCTTTAATATGTGTCCTTTCTTTAAACCATGATTTAGTCAAAATCAAGAACTGATAATGATGTGTGTTTGGTTTGTTTTGTTTATAGGATGGTTATGGTACAGAACAAGTTCATACGCAGGTACTAGACTCGCCGTCCCCGTTTTTATGTGGGTCGCCGCCGAGCAGAGTAGCTAACCCATTAACACAGGATGCTCGATTCAGAGATGACATCGTGCTTGTCTCTTCTTCGCCTCCGGTGGGCTTACCTCCGTCATCCCCTTCTTCATCCTCTGGGAGGAAAGGAGGAGGGTGTGTTAGAGGCAATTTTGGTAACAGCCCAGCGGTTAGGGTTGAAGGGTTTGATTGTCTTGACAGGGACAGCAGAAACTGCTCTATCCCTGCCTTGGCTTAGGAAAAACCCTTTGAGAAAAGAAAAAAAAACCCTTAGAAAAGGGTTTCATACATACTCTTTTGAATTAACTCACGAAAAACAACAAAATTAGTGCGTCGTATATAGAAGTGTTTTAAGGAGATTGAGATGTGTGGAGTCTTTTCTAAAGGGGAAGAAGAGTAAGAGAGATCGAATCATCTTTTGGAGTTTGCTTCCATCTTTTTCTTTTTTTTTGTTTTTGTCAAAGAGTGTAAATAGGTTACGGAGCAAGTTTGTAGTGTTCTTTAAAAATGGTGTCATATTTTGTAAGTATTAAGGAGAGGAACAAATAAAAAGTTTTAGGTAAGGGAAGTAAGGTTCAGGTTTCTTTGTATGGTTTATTTGTGTAAAGTAAAGAAGAGGTTTGGACCTGATCAGAGAGAGTCTTGAGACATAGAAGAAAGAAGAAGGGTATTTTGGGTATTAGTTTGTTTATTTTGAGAGTCGGTTTCGAAGATGAGAGGGAAACAAAAAAAATTTGTACAAAAAGAAGAAATTGAAATGATAAGTAATATTTTTTTTTTTTACTTTGAAAGGCAGCGAATCTTGTTCTTGTTTCGGAAAGAGATGATGTAATGAGCAAAAAAGCTGTGAACTGAACAGTGCCATGTGTTACACAAACTTTGGAGAGACTCGATTCGAAAATATCTATAAGCTGGTTTATAAGAAAAAATCTAATATATCAAAACTCGGTTACATTCTTCGTTAGTAAAAATTTGGAGAATTATAAAAACTTGAGAAACTGTTAAAAGTAAGTGAAGAAATGTGTGAATATATTCGTGATAAGATATAAAGTTGTGGGTTTTAAAAATTATTTAAAAAAATTATAATAAAAAGATAATGAAATAAGAGAGAGAGAAGAACATGAGGGTGTCTTTCAGCATCTTCAAAGCTTTTTGGGTTAACAAGAATATCGTCAGATCTGAGAAAGTCTGACAACTCTGCTTCTACTGCTCTCCCATCTCTTTTTTTTTTTTTTCTTCTTCTTTTTTTTATATTCTTTTTTCTTCTTTTTAATACACATTATTTATCTATTTATAACTCGAAAAGTAATTTAGTTTAGTTACATAATTAAGTAATTAACTGTCTTCGCTTGGAAAAGGATTATTTTTTAAGTGTGTTACTATTTTTAGAACGATTAAATAAAATGTTCCGGTTAAAGATCCTTACAAAGTATAGATTAGTCCACGGACCACAAAATCACAACATATGGTATTTATTCTCTCAAAACCCCATTGCAAAGTTTTTTTAACTTCCAATATTGAAGCATAACTATGTATGTGTTAGAAACTTCTTCAACGAGAGTCTCTATATAATAATTGTTTTCTTAAGAAAAAGATCGTTTCATATACTTTTCCTGATCCTAATTCAAGAGTACCAAGAGTGGATGTTTTAGAATCTGCAAATCTAGTTAACACCAAACATAGGCGGTCGTTTTATTTGGATCTTGATCCGATGATTTCAGAACTCCATCCACTTCTTGTCTGTCTATCCTAATGTGATTAAAGAAAACAAAGAAAGTATGATACAAAATATCAAAAAAAAAATCTAAAATACAAAAAAAAATATTGAAAAATATCGCAGTCAAATAGCACAAAGCAAGAGTTTCGTATAAAATAAGATAAAATAAAGGAAACACAAAGCGAGAGTTCAAACTTTATAGATATTTGATCTCTATGACTCTACTCTACATTGTACATTACACACATGTCGTCAAAAATAATATTTGCATATTATAATTAGTATATTGCTAAATTAAAGTTTGACAAAGAAAAGACATGCATTTATTTAAATAAAATATAAACATATAGTAATATGTTTTTTTTTTTAAACTATAAAGTTTGGGAGAGTCGAAAGGATACAATACATAGCGAAAAAAATGTGGAGCGCCGAGAAAACTGACCAACGAGAGAAAGGGTCGGTCACTAGGAAAGAGGAAGTAGTTTTTTGGTTTCGTGAATTGTGCAACAACACTTCATTCATTCTCACATGACATTTGTCTCCCTCTTCTTTAATGATCTCTCTTTTATCATTTTCTAATAGCATCACAATTACACACACATCCTTTCAAAATTGTGAACAAACAACTCTCTAGACTTTATTTTTTATTATTCTATATATATAGCCTCTTAAAAAATTAGAAACTAGATTGATATTTACCCAAACTATAAAATAACTCAAACAATTCCATGAAATTTTTCTAAACAGTCCTATATATAAAGGTAAGTAGATAAATACAAAATCTATCAAATCATTTTACAAGAAGTTTCACAAATTAGACCATTGTGTGCAGGGGCGGACCCATATAGAAGATGGTGGGGGCAGTTGCACCCAGCAACCTATTAAAAACTAAATTTTTTTTATTAAAATTAAAGTTATAAGTGTCAAAATGGTTAAAGTGCCCACATGAGGTGTCTGAGGTCATGGGTTCAAGTCTCATCTGCTTTGCACCCATTTAATATTTTTCCTGGGTCCGCCCCTGATTGTGTGTATTCGTGTGTCACAAATTTAATCCATCGATTCTTCGCCATTAAATCTTGTAAAAGTTGGCAAAATGTTGTTATGATTGAATCGTTTTGATAGAAATGACACTTAACTATATGGGCCTAAAGTCTACGTTGGCCATTAGATAAGATTCCAAATTATATATTATTAATAGATTTATCCGTGGCCCATTTAAAACAGGCCATTAAAAATCGTGCTTGGTCTTTGACATAAATGCGTCAAATTTACACAAAATCTATTAATCGTGCATGAGCTGGTAGATAGATAATGATACGCACACACAGAAAGAAGGATTCATATGTTGGTGGTGGAGATTTGTAGCAAACACAAGCATTAATGGTTTTCACGATGATACTGTTCTTGTCAGCTATACGCAAGTTTTAGTTTTTATTTGATATTGATTCTTTTAATGCTCTGCACAAAATTGAATTCTAAATTTGCTTCAAGTGTTTGGATAATGTTTTGGAGATAGGCCGATAAAATATTAAGCCGGCATCAACCCAATTCATTATTTGCTGAGTATTCAATTCATATAATATAATTCTACTTCATGAAACGCATACATGTACGTACTTTATGTTTATCCCTAATGCATGACTATGTTAATTGATACGAGTATGACTCGGATCCGACCATGTATTTATCTCTAATGCTACAATTTGTTTAGTTTTATATATGATCCAAACGCGAAAAGGTAATTAAACTGTCTAGAGAAAAATTATACTTAATTAGGTAGAAGTTTAGTGGACAAAAACCTAAACTATATTACATGTTTTGAGTACCTAAACAAAAGCTTCAAAACAGTCCAACTCAAAACTTTATCGGCCATTTATTAAAAAAAAGCAATAATTGAACTTAAACCCCATCGGCAAAACAAAAACGTGGCGTGGAGATGGCCTTTGATGGCGACTGAGAGGAGAAGAAGCAAATCAAAGTAGACGAAGGGAAGGTCCAAAATTGCTGCCACTTGCCTCTTCCGAAGCCCACACACAATTCAACTTGACCCTTTCCTAGTCCTAAAATACACAAATTTGTTTTTTTTTTCTTTCACGTTATGTTTATTATTATTTTGTATTTAGAAATTGTTTTTTTCTTCTGATCCATTTTGGGTAGTTACACCCCCACTAGGAAGAAAAGAACACAACATGTACATGAAAGACATCCCTATCGATTCTAGACCTATCGTTAAATAAAAGGTTGTCGACAGAAAAAGATAATACAGTAAAGGTTGTTTTACTATACTGATAAAGAATGTTCAATTAGAGTTTTTGGATTGCATTCTCTGCGGTTTGGAAATTTTCGGAGTTTACACTATTTGGTAAATTTATATTTTAAACCGTTTATTTTAGATTTATTCGTTTTTAGTTTGATTTAAACATGAATAATTCGTAAAATCTGTATGGTATAAAACTAAATAAATTTGGAGATTTATAAACAAATAAAATTTAAAATTTGTATGTATTTAAGAAAAGTATAAACAAATAAAATTTGATTTTACAATTAAGTAAAATAAGAAAAAATATATATTAATATAAAATAAAATTTATACCAAATTGATATATGTGAAAATAATAGACTATCTCATGTTTCTTTACCACATACACACTAATAATTAATAATTATACATGTTTAATTATAAAATCGGATTATACGGATAATTCATATATTATCCAACTCAAATATCAATTTGACTGAGTTTTTGAAAATTGAAACTATAAAACCAAAATATTATTTAAAATATTTGATATAATATTATACTATTGCTGAACAAAAAAATAACAAATATTTTTCTGTTTCATATTGGTTTAATTTGGTTTGGATCAATTTAATTTTTTCAGTTTTGAATTTACCAATATTAATCTTAAAAATATACTCTAAAATGTGAGAAATAATATTTACTTAGACAAAGATGATCTCCTGCCGTCACGAAAAAGGAAAGTCCAGATGATCTCTCCAAGACTAAAAATATGTCGATGATGTGCTATAAAAGTATATTACCAACTACTACAAACTAATTTAGCTAAACGCCTAAAACCAAATAAAATTATAAATATAAGCACAGAGGATATGGCGTGAGAAGTAGGCACCAAATAAGACGTGGATGGATCTCAACCTAACAAAAAAACGCCGTCGACACTAAGTTTCAAAGTCTTGAAGGTCATTGGATTCCAACTCAATCATATAAACTAACTTTTGAAAACAAGTACTATTATCTAGGCACTTTGTTAACAATTCCACCTACGACTACTAAATATAATTCGTTTAAAATAATACCACTACTATTTTAGAGAATGTGGCCATTAATATTAATTAGTCGCTTTTTTAATTAATATCCTTCGGCAAGATCATAATCATGTTTGGTTTAGTCACATAGTGTATGTAGTACAACGTAACTTTACAAAGGGCGTACTTATATGTTCGTGTTCACTTAGCAGTTTAGCCACTATCACGGCTACCTTGACTCTACGTCTTCTATTGTCCCGCGGCGCACGCTATGCACTAGGAGATAAGGATGTATACAATACATATGGCCAAGTCAATGACTATATTCTTTTCTTCAAACACTCTTAATCTCTCTACTTTATATATATCTTTCTATTTTTGGACTTATCTTTGTCTGTCGACCAAATTATTCTTTGTAACAATTTAAGTAAATGAAGAATTAGCTAACTATAGCATGCATCATGCTTTTCTTTATATGATATGATAACAATTAATCAACTAATTAAGTCACATATCGAATCATATCGTTGACTTGTGATCACTTTGATGATTTTCAAAAGTTGACTAAGTATATATATTTTTATTCTTTCAAGAAGTCGACTAAGTTATTATGTAAATATATATGTGATTTTGCCTATGTACCGTATATTAAATATCTCCAGATATTTTGGTTTAACAGCTGCACAAGATATTTGGAGTAGAGAGATGAATAAAAGAAAAAGGAGGACACGTAGGGCAAAAGGAAGCAGACAGATGTTGTGAGTGTGACGTAAGGCAACTGAGTTTACGTGAAACCTATGTCGGTAAGACAATTCAAAAACAAATCTTCACGTCTCTCTCTATATCCCAACTCCTCACATATATGTCTTCTTCCACTAACCACTTCCTCTACCTCCTATCTCCCTTATAAATAATCCTCTTGTCTTCACTCTTCATCTTTAAGATCAACACCAATCACAAACCAACACTTTACTAGATATGAAGAGACAGAGACAAGATATGGAGGAAAAAGAAGACAATGATGATCACTCATTGGCTGCTGCTGCCATGGAGGTTGCTATTGCCGCAGAAGCGGCTGCAGCCACGGCTGAGGAGGAGCAATGTTGGGGGGCCGGAGCGGTGGAGGAGATGACGTGGAGCTCCGTGTGGTTGCCTTTTTGGGACGTTGAGTTCGTAGGAAGAAACTATGGTGTTTTGTTTAATGATGTTGTTTGGGACGATGATATTTGGAACATCCAAAATCTAACTCACTCCTCATAGTCATTAGTCCTTACTCCTTACCTTTTTAAAAAACCAATAATCGGATTTATAATTCCTTTTGGTTACTCCTCTAAGGAGGTTAATCTATAATGAGATGGTCCGTTTTTAAAACTATATATGTTCATATCTTAATAATACTTTTAGTTGCATAGAATCTTATATTCGCCGTACGTGTGCCTTAGCTTGTCTGAAGATTGATTCTGATATGCGAAATTCCAAAATATAATGCCTATCAATAATGACCATGAAGTTGTTTGTTTAACCGGGTCGACACAACCGTCCAAGTCAAATGAATGTTGCGATGGTTCTGATATGCGCAACTAAAATTTGGTTGCCGTGTGGTTTGGGTTATTAGATACAAGTCAAAAAAGTCATATCCAACATGCTAAGTAGTTTTGTTATGTTTGGGTCCGTATAATTCAGCTATACTCGAGTTGGTACAATTCGAAACAAGATGTGATAATAGACCATGTGAATAGTTTTTTTTTTTCTCTTTTCAATGGGATTACTAAGAGAGTATAGGAAAATGGTCATCATTGAACTATCTAAAACCAAGAAATTTTTTTTTGTTACACATACAAAAAAAAAGAAAGAAAAAGAGACAAATTGAGTTAAAGAGTCTCTTCCAAATTAATTAAATTTTACCTACTCTTAATTCAGCACAAGGATCCCACCAAGGTCACGAGAGAGTCCCGAACTTCTTCTTTCCCATATTAGCAGATTATGTACATTAGTTTAAAATGGTTCCCACTTTAAAATTACCTGAAATTGTGGATCTCATTGCGACCATACAAAACCATTTATAAACTAAATTATCTCTAATTCGGGTCTAAACTCATGTATACCATTTTAAGCCATGTATTTTATTTTTATCTTTAAAAAAACAGGTTCTCTCATTTGTCCTCTTCTTTATGAGTGTCATACACTTTGTACCTTTTGTGGATAACCTTTACAAGTGTAACTTTCCGATTGATAAAATAAAATACAAAAAAAGGTTTTGGGGCTTTATGCAAGTGTAACGTTGCAGTTGAAAGCAAAATACCAAAATTTCATTTTGGGTGCTTATGCAGAAAAACCAAATTTTCAAAACTGTCACTTGATCAGCTCCTAATCTCATTTTTTGGCTTCATGTTATCTTCATCTTCTGTATCGTTTACTTGTTAATGTGAGTCAACTTTTGTTTCTACCCAATCAATCTACGTCTTAAGATTTTTCTTCTGTACGTATTTTCTTATTTTTATTTTGTAATATGAAGTTTTTAAAAAATATCAATTCAAACATTGTGAATTGCATCTCGGGCACACTTTTAAAACATCCCATCAACCTACATTATACTTCTCACCATTAGTTATGAGCAACACGTGATTACATTGATCTAACTTAATTGGTTGCCTCTCAAACTATATGGTTAAAAATTCAAAATATTGAGATGTCGATATATACTAGTGGGGAATGTTAAATGCTTAGGAAGGGAATCTAGAATGGACCTGCATGCGATGGACTATATGCTTAATGTTTCTAATGGGAATCTAGAATGGACCTGCATGCTCTATATAAATTCTCAAATCAAAGTTTTAAGTTTTTTTAGCAAAAACTTGATGTTTGTGAGAGTCCGTCGACTTATTTCCTTTAGATAAAAAGTTATACGTTTTTAAGATATTTTTTTGTAACGATCGATGTTAAATATTTTCGAAATTTTTCTGCAACGTTACACTTGCAGAAAGATTCAAAAGTGCAATCAAAGATTCAAAAGTGAAATTTTTGACAGAAAACAAAAAAAACGAAAAACATAACAAGAAGTTCGCTTGATTATAATGTTTACTATCGTACTGTTGGATTGTCACAAATCGACATTCCTCCTTTGTTTTGAACTTTTCCGATATATAAATACGAGGACCAACCATGCAATATAGTGGACCTATCCAACACTTTGGATTATAATGCCGACCTTTCCATGAGTTTTGATATTTAATAGGCTACTTGTGTTGTGTTGTGTCGCCCAGTTTATATAACTGAAAAACAAGTTGCATATTTATAACGGCTCAATCAAAGATTCAAAAGTGCAAAAAGGCCACTTGTACATTACTACTTACTAGTACTGCTACCACCAGACCATATCATATATAAAAAGACAAGTAAGATCCACTTGTAAGAGCATATCACATTATTAAATCTAAGGTGTTACCAGAGTTTGTAAGGCATCTCACTTTTTATTTTATTTTGTTTTACTGATTCTAGTTATAGAGTCGAATCTCCGATTTTTTTTGCATGGTGTCTTCGTAACCGGAAAATGAGTTTAGTAATTAACTAAGCTGGAAATTTTAAGTATTCTAATAAAAAAAATTAAATTCGTATAATCGTGCGACATAGTGTTCTATGTGTATCTATACTTATACAATTCGATATTAGAAATTCCAAAAACATGTATATCTAACGCCTTGTAATTCATTTTTCAACTGTTTTTAACTTTTTGTAACCAAGTAATGAGATAACAATCAAACTTGTTTTCTGACCAGTAATTTATGTAGAAAAAAAAATGTGAAAGCATAGGGCCGACTAGAACTTCAAGCCCATTATATAAAATGGTGCGATTTAAATTGTAGTAATGTAAACAGAGGTAATATTACACTGTCACATATATGTACTGCCCATTTTTCTTTTGAAAAATATAAACAAAAATAATGTCTTTTAATTTTTAGAAAATTTAACAATTGGTGTTTCTTTTCTTGTAAAGAAGCATGTTTAGTAAATAGTTAAAGGTGTATCTTTTTGTCGTTTTCACCCGTTTGATTTAAAGTAATTACGTTACGTTTGATGTCAGAATAATAAAATAAAATTTACGTTACGCCTGAATGATGTAAGAAAATAGTGCCGTTTTATTTAGAGAATCTTGAAGAAACACAAACAAGAAAAACGTAAATAACTTATTATATTATTTTCTTTTATGGGATGAAAATATTCGTTCAATAACTATTAATTATTTAGTTAAAAACTTGTACATAAATGTTATCCATCATACATTTTCTATGATTATTACGAGAAAATTATGATTATAAAGGCATATAGCATTAAAATATTTAATTATTTTTACAAAAAAAAATATAATTTATAATCTCGTGTAAATGATCGCATTTACACTTATACGGTATACAATATTTAGTCATACAACGAACTTGGTATTATAGTTTAAAATACAACTAATTACCCAAACTATACCCAAAGGCATTCAGCTAATTTCCTTTGTTTATATGTTTTTTCCACATAAAATGATGTTCTGACGTAGATTACTTGTATTAAAGAAAAACTAATAGAATATTTCATTTTTATACTGTTAATACAATATCATAAGCCTAATATTATTAATTTATAGAAGTTTACCGTATAATTAATATTGTATATATTTTAAAGTTATTATTCATCGCACGTCACTATTTTTGGTTTACATTTTTTCGCTCAAATCAATATTATTATGACTACTTTGATCTGTCACTAGAGAGTGGAAGAAAGTAGAATTAAGATTAGTTAATAACTTAATATCATTAAATTAATATAAAAATGTAAGAATTACTTTGTTCTTTACAAAAAAAACTTGTGCGTGAAAAACTGAAAGTTCTAAAACATATATTTTCTATTAACAGATGGAGTATATAGGAATGTAGCTCGAACATGATTTTGTAAGTGTACTTAACATTTTTAATGCCTAAATAAAATAAAATAAATCAGTTTAATGAAATGGCAATGACAATCTTATTTTCTAACGTCAAAATTGAATATGCGTACATAATCAATCACAGTCGGGCTTTAATCAATCTCCGTCACCTCATAGTACGTAGTGGATTCGGACGTGGACTAATATGTAACAACAACAAAATCCTTACTTATAGTTTGAAATGTTATGAATGACGTAGAAAGGTGCTAATATATTTAAACATTTTTGTAAATTAACATTTTTCAGAAAATTCAAGGAATCTTGAAATAGAATTGTAAGAGCCAATAACCATCAAAACGAGTGACACATTTTTGGACAGGTGCCTTGTGATGTTTGTTTTCTTCTTAAAAAGCAAAGCTGTAAAACGTTTGTATCGTAATTTGTTTTGCAATAAAAAACATAAATTTAAATTCAAAGTCATTACTATTAACAACGCATACTTAAATTGTCTTTACATGCTAAAATACTGTATTTTTACGGCCCAAAATCTCCCTAAAACCTGGAGTAAAAAAAGAGGCATTGTGAGTAGTTTTTGTTTCCCGTGTGCCACATTTTTCTTTTGTTTGTTTCAGAAACCATTTTTAAAACTGTAAGATTTTGTTTTGGTTTTGGTTGTTTTGTCGGTATATCATCTCTGGGGTGGTTCTCGTGCATGTCTCCCACTTTTCATCTCCAAAGTTTCCTCGTATCTCCACCCCCTCCTCTGAACCCTCTCTGGCTAACTCTCAATTACGTAACCACCCTCACGTTTTCATTTCTTATTTTGTTGTCTTTTAACCTCTTCTTTTTGCTTTTGCTTTACTTTGAGTTTCAAAATTAGCTTGCATTGCATATAGAGTCATGAGTCCATGAAATTAATGATAATATGATGAGGATTGAGTAACGAGCGTTAAAGAAGAGTGAGGCTTTGATTGGGTGAGACGTAATTAATTACTACTTTACTAGTATAGGTTTAAAGTTGAGCTAGTGGTAAGTGTCGTAATATTGGAATGCATGGATGGCAAATCCAAAAGAAGAAGAAAAAAAAGTGTGTGAGAGAGAGAGAGAGAAGTTGGTATTCCCGAAGAAGGACTCTCCCCAACTTTTGCCAAAACAAAATGCCAACTTCACTGAAACACACAACCTCCTCCTTCTCCCTCATTTCTTGGCCTTTTCTTTTTTATCTTTTGAGAACTCAACACAAAAAAAAAAAAAAATCACAGTAATAATCTTAAATGTATTTTGTTTTTAATTTTAAAACCATAAAAGCCTGGACTGCACCAGTTTTTATTTCCACCACTTTCTCCAAGAAACGCAAAAGTTGAAGAAAAAAAAATAACCAGCTCATTTACTTATGATGTGTCATGAGTCATGAGTAACTTCTTCCTTATAAATTCAGATTGTTCACAACTTCCTTGAGTTTCACTTCGGAGCATAAACACGCAACCATACGTGTATATGTCACTTGTAAACATATAAAGGGGGAATAAAATGAGAATCAGCTGCAATGGGTGTAGAGTCTTACGCAAAGGTTGCAACCAAGATTGCACCATAAGACCATGTCTTCAATGGATCAAATCCGCAGACTCCCAAGCCAATGCTACACTCTTCCTTGCCAAGTTCTATGGCCGAGCCGGTCTTCTTAACCTCATCGAGTCCGGTCCTGACCACCTTCGTCCCGGTAAACTCTGAAAGACAATTCTCTCTTTTATACATCGGTCCATTGAGTTATCTAGCGAGTATGTAGTACTGAAAAGTTATAATGTATCTTGGATTACGAGAGATCTACAAGATTTGGTAACAGAGTATCAAACAAGGATCTGAAATGAGTGTTTTAGGTTCTGTCACAAAAGTCTTACATGCACAGACACACACATCACATCACTGTAATTTACATTTTTTTTTTTTTTCAATTTTTGCGGATTTGATTACAAAACCTTCATTGTGTTTTGTAGCAATATTTAGGTCCCTTCTGTACGAGGCGTGTGGTCGGATCGTGAACCCTGTGGATGGTTCGGTGGGTTTGATGTGGACTGGGAACTGGGCCCAATGTCAGGCAGCCGTTGACGCCGTACTCAATGGCTTACCCATAACTCACACACCTCTTCCAAGTGCATCTGCGTCGAACCAGATCATTCCTCCACACAGGACTTACGACATACGCCACGTGGCCAAAGATCCAGCACCCGGCGGCGACAGTTCGGAGGGTTTGGCTACACGTGCTAACGCTAACAAGAGCAAGACACAAACTGGCCGGTTCAAACGCCTTGCTGAGTCCGTGAACCAACTAGGCGAATGTAGTCACGACACGTGGCAATTCCCAAGTTCTGGTGCTACGCATGGCTATGGTCACTTCACGTTGGAGACTGTGGAGGTTCGAGGGGAAGCTGCTCCATTTAATCAAAGTTCTTCGAATGTTGGGTTTGATGATCAAGTTCAAGTCGATATCAACGAGGTTGGCTTAGAGCTCAGACTTGGCTAAGCTTTGCAAAGACAAAATAGATAGCGTTATTATCATAATTCTGTCTTTTTAATTGAATAATTTCACTTTCTATTATATAAGAGGAGTAAAAAAAAAAAGGAAAAGCAAATCAAACTTGGTCTACTGGTTTAAAAGTGTATAAATTTGGCTTTTATGTGAGGTTATGGTATATTTGAACGAAGTATCAACGCCTAGCTAAAAGAATTGTTGATATCCCTGCTAGTGACTTTTTGAGCGTATGTGTTTCTAAAAGTTGTGTTCTTCATGAAATTGAGAATTTTGAGATTATTTGAAGTACAAATATACCATTATTTAATTAAATCTGTATTCATTTGACAGGTTGCATAGCCAATTCAATTCAAACCACCAATAGTATATAATATATTTAATACACAACAAATGTATAATTCCTTGAATTTCTTTTATTCTTCGAATGTCGAATGATAAATTTATGAAAACACTGAAAATTTTAATACATTGTAATAATAATTTATAAAACAAAATGAAACAAAAAAAAATTATTCTGCTGGGTTATCTTCTACTTTAGTTATAATTTATAAGTGAAATACTTTTTCAAATTCAACATTTTCTCATAAAAATGAACCAATAATAATTCAGCAAGGACTATTCATTGAAAATATCTAATTTTGCTGAATTATTATGGACAAAAACCTAGTTTTTAAAATTATATTCTTAGGAATAAAGGGAGTAAAATATGTGTTTATATATGTTGTTCAAATAATAAAAAGAAATAGATACATAAATTAAGATAATAACATACATTAATTGACCAATTGCTAGCTTAATTGGTAAAGATTTCTGGCAAAAACTTAGAGATCGCTGGTTCGAGTAACGCTTGGACGAGACCATATAACATACTTTGATTTCGGAGCTAAAGGAATGTATGAGTTTCGGTCTAGAATCTCTAACCGGTTTCTATCAATAAATATGGTAAGTTGTTATGGAGGACTAAATGATATCATATTTTTGAGTAATTTCTGTGTACCACTTTAAACCACCTCGGAAGCAACTCAAATCGTATATATGACTTATGAAGAAGGACCACACAGGCTAATACACAAATCCTTTAACTTCTTTTTCTAAATTCAAAATTGTCACCATTAATATATCCAAGGGCTTGTTCCTACCGAAGATATTGAAGGATATTTTCTTCTTAGTGTTGACAAATAACTGTTGCTTTAAGACATTTTTGTTGGTTTTGCATACATATATATTTTGAATATTAGGCTATTTTGTGCAATTACACATGAAAAATGAAAATGAGTGTTTTTGTAAAACAAACAAAGAAAAAAACAAGAAAAATTAATGTAGATGGTTTTGAATGTCCAATATGTGTTATATTCTATAACCCAATAAATTCAGAAAATAAAAAACACCACACAAATTATATACATGATTTCATCTTATCAATTTTTTCTTTTTCTTATAATCGTTACTTTTCCAAGCCAAGTCTTCTATGGAACTCTTCAAATAACTTGATAGAGATATCTCCCGATCAGTGTTTTCCATAGCAACAATTCGATTTATTGTTATATTCTATGTTAAATGAAATTTTCTTAATGTGATATTTTGAGAAGATTTTGGAGTCGTCGGATTCATTGGTCTGACTGCCGACAAATATATTAATATTTATCATTGAAATAAAACTAAAATACTAATGCTTTTTAGATATTTCAGTAGGATATTTGTGACAATCCCATATGTTATGTTTTGGTGACAGCATATTAGTAACAGCCAGCAACCAAAATTCACGGTATATAAACTATACTATAGATCAATGCTTACAAGGAAATCAAATTTTTTTGGTGATATATATAAATATGTACATATGTAGCTCACAAAACGTGCAAAAATCTCTATCAATGCAGTAAAAAGAAAGCTAACAACTATCACCAAAAACTAGCAGCAAAAAAAAAAAGCAAAAAAGAGAGCATATGAATTAAAATTCCATAATGAATCAAGTTCTTTAGTGAGCAGCAACAACTGAAGATCTCTTCACGAACCTTCCTTTCATTCGAGGCCTCTTCTCTGCGTTAAGCTTACGTACCTCATACCTTATCTTCTTGGAGAACAACCTCGTCCTCCTTTTCTCTCGGTATCTTGAAACCCTAGCCTCTCTTCCCCCATCACCATGAGCTTCTCCCATGCGTAACCCTAGGCCACGAAAGTGGTTGTAATGATGAGCTTGATCTACTCCACTTTCACCCTTAAATATCCACAAGACAAACAAGTTTTGTTGATTAGAGACAATTCTTTCTTCTTTTACCAATATTGAATAGTAATAAAAGGACAAAGCAAGGTAGACATACCATGGAATCGGTTGGACAACAAACCATGTCGAGGTCTATTTCAGATGGTTGTTGAGCAGTCCATGGGATCCCTTGTCCTCCCCAAGTTGAAATCACCGATTCGTAGTTCAATCTAAGCATAAGAGCCTTCTCCTTGTTCTCTTCCTTAATCTTACCACTCATCTCATTCACTCCCATGTCCATAACATTCTTCATCACGTCTTCTTTTTCATCTTCTTCTTCTTCTTCGTTTGTGCTGGTCTTGGATGCGGACTCGTAATCAAAGCTTATTTCAAATGGAGAAGTCTCATCAACTTCATCAAGATCACACATATCCCTTGTGGCGACTCCTTCTTCTTCCTCCACCTCTTCTTTTTCGATCTTCATCATCTCACCTAACCCTAGCTCACCCGTGGGTTGAAAGTCTCGCTCTGCCCCTCCACCAAGGAGAGTCTCCACGTCAGCAGTGAACTGAGCCAGTTCTATGTCGGTTGGGAATAAACCATTCAGACAACTCTCAGCGTTGTCCTCGTCTTCTTCGTCGCTGCTCTTGAAACATACGGGCCTCATCGGAAACTCGATCTTTGTCTCCACGGACTCGTTAAAGCATTGCTCCTCAACCATCGGGTTCATCACTGGCACCTCAAAGATGAGCTGCCCTTCAACCTCGTAGCTCTCCGCCTGATCCTCCGTGCTCATCTCCGGCACAAAATCATGAAAAACCATCGTGTGGCTCTTCTTGCCTCCGCGCGGGGTCCGAGCTTTACGTGTAAATCCCTGATGCCACGTAGGCGGCGGGGAAGTAGGGACATGGCGATGCTTTCCAGAGCTAGCCGATTTCAAACGGACCCTCTCGTGTCTACGAGCAAGAGGGTTCGCAGAGTGGACCGAACCATCACAACCATGGCAAAGGAAAGCATCGTCAGCTGCGCAATACCAACGTGCCCGCCTCTTCACGCAACTATCACATGCCCTCGCCGTCTTCCCTCCGACCGCACTAGCCAAACTTTTCATCGTCTTATATACTTATCACCATCAACGACAAGAAGCTACACTTTGGAGCAAAAACAAGTTGCCAAGTCTCAGTTACAAAAAGAATGTTTTTATCGAACTATGAGTTCCCTCTACAAAGGTTTCAGTTTTCGAGAAGTGGTTAGAAAAAGAGAGAGACTACATTTTCTTTTATGAGGCAGTGAAGGGCTAAGTTTAGAGGCATTGTAAGCTAGTACATGTCCTACACGATGTGATCTTTTTTCTTGTTTCTTGAGTGTAATTAAAGGTTAAAAAAAAAAAGTATGCACTTTTTGGTCGCTTGTACCCCATGAGGGCCATGGAGAGGTCTTATCTCGACTTTGATTGGCCGAGTTCTACAAGTTGATCCTCTTCTTAGTGTTTTGATTGGCTAAGTTCTTAATCAGATGGATATCTTTATGGTCCACTAGTCGTTTTCGCTGGCCAAGTCACTCATTATTTTTGGATTTTGTTACTTTTCGTTTTTTTTGCTATAACTCTGGGATTTTCCATGGAAAAGTTAAACAGTGTGTAATCATCCTCGTGATTTTGGAGAAAGCGAGATCTTGATTGGTTATGTCGGTTTTTAAGTTTTGATATATCTACATCTACATGTTAATCTTCTTTCTTTTAAAAGCTTTATACATATCCATATAAAATGAAGTTGTATTGAAATCTTTAGTGTATATTTTTACGACACATATAGGGAAAAGAATCCTTTAAATTCACAATAGTCTTATTAGTTACTATATGTTTCATCGTTCCTAACTAGATATACATCTCGTATACTAGTTTACTTGTATCATCAATTAAACCCAAAACACAGATGGAGAACTAGAGATACCCGAAAACGTTTGGTTAAAAGATATAATGGATAACTATGGTGTACGTATGGACCACATCAATATGCAGAAAATTTCAAAAACAAAGGCATCAACCTTTTTCTTGAGAAGATAAGAGGTTCGATGGACAACATGTACCACTCTTGGCACTATTCGTGTACTTGGAAAATGATGTTTGCATTTGTTTTCGGCATTTGTAAGAACTAAGATTTTGGAGACTGATCATTGATTTATATCGATAAGAGATCATTAACCTTAAACTTTTGTCTTATCTAGGAAACCATATAGTATGTATCATTCATAGTATTGATTAGAATTGTGTTCGAAATCTTTACTCTCAAAACTAAAAAGCAGAAAAATGATTGCACACAGCCGTGGTTCATTTTCAGTGTGATTTATATACATTGTAAATTCTCTTCAAATTAAAAACGAAATTAATTTTCAACTTCATTATAACTTAAAATCACGTGTCTTGATTCTTTTAGAACAACATGATGATTACATATTTACATAGTATAATTATTGTAAAAGTTGCAACACTAGAGAGAATTAAAATGTGACGGTGCTCTTAAAATGTAAATTAAAACCTCTTTCTCCCATGCTACTAGATTTATTCTCGGCTATATATATCATATAATTTTTGTTTAAGTTTATTATATTTTCGTCAATTTTTTTTTTTGTTTTGGGGTTCAAATTCGTCATTTTATATATCAATCTTATTATACTTTTTCTTATTTCATAAAAAGAGATGATATTATATAATATATAGTGTTCTTTTACCTTTTTTGTTTGTCGTGTGACAAAGATGTGCAAGAGAGACCATATATTGATGCGTTGGTTCGAAGGTCAAATCTCTGTCGAAGTAGTTCAGACTTCAGACTAAGGCCATAAGCTGGAAATTTCAGGCTCACTTATTATTATAGGCCCAATACATTTTTGTGGCTGTGTTGGAAAATATATTCAAATAATTCAATGTTTATTTTTAAGTATTAATAAAGCATGAATTATGCACCACTTAACATGTCAACTTCATGCAACACTTGCACAAGGAATTTTTCTACAGACGACTCAGAATCCTACATGTATCACAAAAATTCATGACAACAATACATTCACAATCTTTTAGTAACAGTAACACCACACAAAATCAACTAGCAAGTTTCACACTATTGACTTTGAATATAGTAAACACCAAATCAGATGGAATAAGCAAATATGGAGAACAGAGCGATGAAAACAAAGAAACATATCCTCGGAATTAAAATAAATTATAAAACAGAGAAAATATTCTTCTTATTTGATACACCACAAAGTTATTAATTACAGCACAAGAAACTAAAAAATACCCCAAATGAAAAGCAGAGATTTTAAAGTATATGCAGAGCAATTGAATACAAACATTTATGCTTTGCTTTGCTTTTTCTTCTCCTCTTACTTTCATTTCTCAATCCCCTCTTAACCCAAATCCCGAGAAGACCATCTCATCAACCTAAACCGTAACACAAAACCAAACCCATTAACTTAAAACCGTTCAGTTTAGAGTTTGACAACTTCAGGGATAAAGACAGGGTAACGGTCGATACAATCAGACCACGGTCCATCCTTAGGTGTCTTAATCGTACGGTTACACTTCCACACGGCAGAGTTACACTTAAAACCACTCCCGAACGCAATCTGCCAAACTCTATCACCTCTCCTCATTCTCCCTTTAGCCTCGATGTAGCTAAGCTCGTACCACAACGATGACGACGAAGTGTTACCAAAACGATGCAGTGTCATTCTTGATGCCTCAACGTGTTCTCCTGATAGCTGTAGATTCTTCTGGAGCTCGTCGATCACTGCTCTACCTCCAGCGTGGATGCAGAAGTGTTCGAAGGCTAGTTTGAAATCCGGTATGTACGGTTTCAGTTTCGGGTTGAAGATCTTACGTCCTATTAGGGACAAGAGGAAGAGGAGTTGTTCTGACGCCGGTAGGACCAAAGGACCTGTTCAAACCACAGTTCATTTATCAAACCCAACCGTACCATAATACCTTAAAACTTAAGCCAAACCAAACTTTTACTATAAAAATTTCTACCGAACAAATAGAATTTAATGCAACCGACTCGAGTAACCTAAACTTTCATAGAAACGAGACATATACCAAGAAAGTACACTTAACCATATACTACTAAATTATATAAAGTTATGACTATTCTTTTATTTAAAATAGAAATTTATGTCAAACCGAGCCGACCAATGATAGTTGTACGCCCACACCTCAATATTTATTTCACCGTTTATATCATTGCTATGGTATGAATGTGACACAATATGATCTGTCTCATTAATATTACCTATTGTGGTGATATTAGCCTTGAGGGCTTCACCGGCGATGGCCATTAGATCTTTAGACAAGTTGATGCCAACGTGTCCTTCTCTGTCTTCTTGTTCGTAGACACAGAAGAAAGACTTGTCGTCAGCGCCGCGGTGGGTACGGACGAGGTGGGATAGCTTGTACTTGGCTCGCCACCGGTCAGAGCGGCGGTTTGACATGAGTATGGCGGCTGCCCCCATGCGGAAGAGGCAATTTGGTAACAACATGGCTCTCTCGTTTCCTTGATAGTAATTAGGAGTTATGATCTCAGTGCTGACGATGATTGCATTTGAATTGGGGTGAACTTGGAGCAAGTCTCGGGCTAGATCGACTGAGATCAAGCCCGCGCTGCAACCCATCCCGGAAAGATTAAAGCTCTTGATGTTGCTCCTAAGCTTATACTTGTTGATGACCATAGCTGAGAGAGATGGCGTGGGAGAGAAGAGAGAGCAATTAACGATGAGGATGTCCACGTCTTTAGGTTTAAGACCAGTTTTCTCAAAGAGATCGTCCATGGCCGTGAATATAACCATCTGAGCCTCACTTCTAGCAGCGTCCATGGTTGGTGTTGGAGGTATATAATGAATAGCCGGAGGGAGACAAGTCTCTTCACCAAGACCAGAACGTTCGAGTATTCTCATTTGGAACTCAACGCTCTTAGGCTTGTCCTTGAGGATCAAACGAGAGTGTTCCATGAAAGTTGCAAAAGGGACACGGCACGTGACAGGTGGCTTGTAACAAGAATAGTCAACGAGGTAGATGGTACGTGGCTTGGACATGAAGTAAACAGTGGAGATGAAGATGACAAAGAAGGAAGAACATAGAACCTGAACTAGGTCAAACTCGAGCGAATTCCAAACGTTAAGGATCTCTTCAGGACCCATCCGAAGAAGCTCAACGGCGACGATAGCCATGATCGGGATCAAAAGAAAACTCAAGAAATGATTAACCAAGTATTGGTAACCAAGTTTCACGTACTTGAGCTTCACCGAGCTAGAGAACTCTGGCATAGGTGCCTGATCAGGCATCTTCGGGAGAGAGTTTTTAATGTATAATCGTGTTACTGTTTTTGCAAAATGTGATTAGGGTTTTTTCGAAGATGAGTTTAATGAAGAAGAGAGAGGGAAGGTGAAGGATATAAAGGCGAACAGAGAAAGGTGGTAGATGAGAGAAGTTAATGAAGAGACCAACGTCACCCAACGCTCTTGCTTTGCTTTTCCTATCTATTTAATTTTTCTTTTGTCAATTTTTTTTTATTAGTATGAGAGGAAGGAAATAAAAATGTTTTGTGAGTAATACAAATTTCTCTTCGATTTCCAGTTGTAACTAGACAAAAGCAAGTGATGGTAGCAAATGACAAGGACTGTTTCTCTTTTGATATATAAAAAATTTTCATATCTCAAGAACTTTGTTGTTGTGAGGGAAATAAATTGAAAAGAGCAAAGACGTGTCAGCTTTTTTTGGTTTTTTTTATCAGAGATCGATCAAAAGCGTTTGGTAACTACTTTGATTTGATGATCACGTTCACGTTGCCCCCGGTAGGCGTCATATAGTACTGTTACTATGGGTGGACATAAATACTTAGTACTTGTCACTCGTACATGTTACTTAATATTTGCTTCTAGAGAAAAAACAAAATCGGTCGTTATCAAGGCAGTAACATAAGTTAGACATTCACAAGTATGTATTTAAAGTAATCTTGAAGTGCAAAGCAAAGTGATACAAATAGCAAATATATCATAAAAAGCATATATATTGCCTTGTGTCCACACCCCTAAATAATGTTTTATCCAAGAAAAACATTGTCATCAAATTGTCTATGTTTATCTTATTTTTTTTTGCGTTAGCTCGGTCTAGTTCCATAGATGAAAGAATTAGCAAGTCCGTTCTTGAAATGCTTTCTTTAAAGGTAAAAGAAAATATACTTTTAAAAACCAAAAAAAAATGTACGTTTATACCCAAAAAGATGAATTGACTGTACGTAAAGTTACTTGTGAGTTTGGACCTATCACCCATGTACGTGGCAGGTAGCGTGAAAATCAGAGACAGCATAGGTTACATAGTTGCATGTGTTTTCTTATGTACAATCGCAATCAGTCTTTTCATTTTGCATGGTTAATTAATCGTCAACAGCTAAAATGGAGTATTAAACTCTATAGTTCACTATAAATGTAAACAAAGAAAAAGAAATGTCATCAAAATACGACTGTGAATTACCAAATTAATCTTTTAAACTTGAGTAATTAATATATGAAGTTCTTCTAGTTGGGTCCAATAGTGTCATTCGAAAGAGGGAATACACGAGGGGAAATCAAACAGTTGTTACGATGTTTGACTTGGAAAGTGCAAGAAGACAAATCTTGAGATCCATGCAAATTCGAAAAAGAGCATGAGAAAATCAAACAGTAGTTACTATGTTTGACTTGTAAACTAAAAGAAGACAAATCTTGAGATCCTATGGTTTCACATATAGAACACAATCCCCACCAAAACCTCAAATAAAGTCCAAATCTTTTACTGCTATATATGATTCTTTTTGCCAGACAGAAATTTTATTCCATGCTTGAATAAGATTGTAAGCTCCTTATATATAAACCGAGACCTAATAAAATACTCGTAAAGCTAATAAACCTGCATGATATAGTAAAAGGGTATGTTTCTAAACTAAAGAATGAACATGGTTGAAGTTTCAAGTTCCACAATAATATCATTAATTAATGCCAACAAAATTTGATGAAGAAGTTTTAGTTTGGAACTATTCACAAGATTGACATGTACATTTAATATGAGTATAGTGTGTCACTATTCCATTAATTAGCCACGTACACCATTTTTATAGTGATCCATAATATACATGTTAGTTAAATAATATTGAAATACAAATTATGCATTAGTTAAAAAGATATTGTAAGATTAATGATTGTTGTGTAAAGGATGCTTAAGTTTGGGTTGGTTTGCTTTGTGAGCCGGTCTTCTTCCATGGCAAAACCTTGATCGTGTATTGTCATGGATTCTTCAGCACACTCCCAAGTTGGATGAATCAAACCTTGATCAACAAATTTTACTAATCAATTTCTAAATTATGTGTAGATGATCACTAAAGCCAGACCTCTCTAGTTAACACATTTTGTTCTATCAACCGACCTCCCTAGCTAGTTCAAATTAGCAATGAAATTGCAATACATGTATATATCAAACATAGTCCTCCAATGTAATTCCTAAGGGCATGGGCATTGCAAGGACCCATTCCTTGGTCCCAATATTTTTTTATCAATTTTTTTTGCAAGGGACAAATGTTAAATATTTTGGTACGAGCATTGGTGTCCTACGTAATTCGTCCCACGGAAAAACCACCAATTTTTTATATTTTTATTTAATTTATTTTAATTTATAAGTAAAAACATTTGAAATATTAGATTAATTTATAACATATTAAGAATGGAAAAAAAAAAATTAGAAAGTTATAAAAACATAAAAAAGATAAAACATACAATAAAGACATTAAAAGTGGTAGGAAGAACAAAACTTTTGAAAAATGTTATTATGAAATTGAGTTGAAGTTGTAAGGAATGGCTTCTCTACTCGCTTGCATATATATAGACAAAAGTTTTAAGGTTTGGTGGAGCAATATTCTTACCCGTGGAGTTGTGACAAGCTTTATCCGTGACATTGTGTATCAAAACAAGAATCATATCACTTTATACAGACAAATACAACAAGTTTATTCCTGGTGCCAAGTTTGAGATGGTCATAAACATCCTACTTAAAATTGACTTGGCCACTATATCTAGTCAACAACGAGAAGAGATAATGAAAACTAGCAAGCTTTATACAACAAATAAATATAATCATACTACAAATGCTTTTCCATCTTTGATCATGTTGGTGGAGTGGAAATATTTAAGAAAAGAACTAAAACAGACTCAAAAATAAAGAACTAAAACAGACTCAAATGCTTCTCCTCTCATCTATGTCTTGATGCTTGAGGTCCACCTTTTCAGGATCCTCCTCCACTGTAATTGGAAGGTAATTGGGTTCTCTTGGATTGAATGCTCTTAAATCCTCGGTCTCTGCAACGGGTTTCTTACATTTGATGATTGTCCATGAAATGGTAGACTCTGGCTCTTCTTGGTTGCAGGGTTTTCTTGTACGGTTAAATGGAACCTTTGTGTTTTCTTTTGTCATCAACATAACTTCAGTCTGGTCTTGAGACTTCTCTTTGCAGTCTTCAGCTTTATCCTTTAATGTATCTTTACCAACATCATCTTTATCCTCAGTAGCATTACCAGCTGTTGTGTTCTTTGTCATATCGATAACTTCTGAGATAAAATAACTAGTTTGATCAGCACCTTCATCTTCCTCTTCATCTTTGTCTTCCTTCTCTTGGATCTCTTTCACAGAGTCATCTACCAAAGTCTCCTCGATTCTGTTATTTGCTTCTGAGTTCTTGGTCATATCGATGACATCAGAATCAAAGCAACCAGATTGATTTCATCCTCATATATGTTTGCCCTCTCTTCAAGGTATATCACAGATTCATCTACCAAAGTCTCCTCAATTGTATTATCTGCTTCTGAGTTCTTGATTATACTGATTACTTCAGGATCAGAGCAACAAGATTGATCAGCACACCGAAAATAAACCCTGCAGAAACAGATCATAGTAAGCACACCGAAAAAAACACAATCCAAATAAGATATGAGATTCGTATAACGAAATATACACAGATCAAAATGGAACACATGGAAGAGAAGAGCATATCGAAAACAAACTCAGATACGGAAGAAACTAATTATGATTTTATTCATGTTATGAATTAAGCGATCAATTCTAATGGATACAAAATGAATTAACAAAACCTCATAGAAGAGGGAGAAGAAGAATAAAAAAATACACAAGTAAACAAAAAAATCAACCTACAAATTCTTAAGTCAATTTCGTAATCACGACGGAGATTAGATCCTCCTCCGCTGATGAAATAAACGGCGGAGATTACCGTTGAATGATCGGAAAAACCCAAAAAATCGATCAGAGAGAGAGAGAGAGAAGAAGAGAGGAAGCAGTTTTGATTTTGGATGCGTCTGCGTTTTGCGGAGAAAAACTGAAACACGAACAGACCCCAAATTTTTTTTCCCTTCACTAAACCAACAACCAATAAACGCCTGCCATGTGGCCCGAAGGACGGCCATTATTTGTCTCGTTTGAGAGAACGGTCCTTCGTTTATTATGTATTTATCATTTTCTTTTAAATGTTGTAAGGTGAAGGACGAAAGATAGATACGGCGTTGCCCATGGCCTTACAACAAAGTAAAATACAACGGTCCCTCCACAAAGACAATGTGATGTCATAAAAATCAATACACGTATAGTCGGACCAACCAGCGGCCAACCACCTATTAAGACGTTTAACAAAAATACATAAATGTTTATAATCATGTGTGTGTTTCTTGAACAAAATTTTCTGATTGTAGGAATCCGTTGCAACTCTCAACTATTTTGATATTTTGTATTTATTGTAGAAAATTTTATTGTAATGCTATATATGTGTCCGCATGCAATATAAATTTGTTTCTTGCACATTATTCTTGTATTTTTGTCATGGTAAACTTCACAATTCTCCTCAACACTTGACTTGACAAGCTGCTTTTGGTTTGTTTATCATACAACACAACCTATAAGGAAATTACTTTAGTTCTGTGAAATTAGTTTCTTTAATTATGTGATCTCAACCTGTAAGGGAATTTGTTTTTTTAGTCACACAAAGGATTTTATATCATTCTTCAAAGTTTATGGGAAACAAAACAATTAAACCTTTAGGAGTGAACCCAAGTATTTTTCATTTGATAATAGTGGTGATTTTTCGTTTGTTCTATATAGAAAACAAAAATAGTTTAAGTTGCAATTGATGAAATGACGTGTTAGATATTATTGAGTTCTACTTAAAAAAAAAAATTAAAGGGTTTCTAGTGTACTGTATTTGATAAGATTTATCATTAAGGACATCTTCCCAACTATATATCTTTCTATTAATTTTGATTTTGATTTTATTAATAATAATATATTTGTGACTATATTGGAACAGAAATCTCCCTATCATATTGTTACTGTATGCTGTTTTCAAATATCAATTATGCAAATGAGTATTGAAAATAGACCTACACTTTTAATTTTTGTCCTTTTGCTTTAATTTTATTTCCCCCATTCCTAGCTTTTATTAGGACGATCTCCTTTGAACAAAAAAATCATTTTTATATTTGTAAATTTGCTATTCATAATTCACTTCTACAAATGATAAATTAATAATAACACGGTCATTATAATATATTAATTCATAAATATATTTATATATCGATAAATCGGACAAGAATAGTAAACCGTACCTCGATCAATTTAATTAATCTTAAAGTTAGATTATTTAAGTAGAGCTGTTAAATTTTGTAAAGAAATTGGATTATGTTATTGTTTCAAATCTTAATGCAAAACTATTTGACAGTAACGACTATATATTGGGATACTCATCAGTCATCACAAACGCATGGACCTCTAAATTGCGAAAATGAGTATCGAACCCCATGAAGCCCAATGGGCCTTTACAAAAGTCATCTTCCACTTAACAGTCTAAAGTCATATTTTGGTCCAGATCACATTGAACGGCACTTCTTTGTCTTCTTGATATTATACGAATAACTGTCATTTCACTAACGTGAATTTGAGAGCACGAATGTGATGAATCACCAACTCTTCTTTTCTATCCACAAAGATTACTATTATTAAACCTAATCACATCTCTCTGCAATTTGAAAAATCAAAATTTCGTAGCAGAGACAACGATGCCAGAGTACTTGGTAACGGGAGGAACCGGTTTCATTGCTTCTTACATCATCAAATCACTACTCGAACTCGGTCACACCGTTCGGACCACTGTTCGAAACCCTCGTAAGTCCCCGATTTTTTCTCACGCATTTACATTCAAAGTCTCCACCTTTGGTTTCTTGGTTCTAATATGATTTGATTTGAATTGATGTTGAAGGTGATGAAGAAAAGGTTGGATTTTTATGGGAATTTCAAGGAGCAAAACAGAGGCTAAAGATCTTTCAAGCTGATCTAACTGTTGAAGGAAGCTTTGATGAAGCAGTGAATGGTGTTGATGGAGTATTCCACACAGCTTCTCCTGTTCTTGTTCCACAGGATCATAACATTCAAGAGACATTGGTTGATCCAATTATAAAGGGTACAACAAATGTGATGAGCTCTTGTGCTAAGTCCAAAGCCACATTGAAAAGGATTGTTCTTACTTCTTCTTGCTCTTCGATACGGTATCGTTTTGATGCCACTGAAGCTTCTCCTCTCAATGAGTCTCATTGGAGTGATCCTGAATACTGCAAACGCTTCAATGTGAGATAACACTTGTTATCTTTTAGTGTTATCTTTTAGTCTGCTTAGATATGGTTTCTGTTATGACTTTGGTGAAATTGATAAAGGATGATCATTGATTTTGGTTGATGCACAGCTTTGGTATGGATATGCAAAGACTCTAGGTGAGAAAGAGGCTTGGAGGATAGCTGAAGAGAAAGGATTAGACTTGGTAGTTGTGAATCCTTCCTTTGTGGTTGGTCCATTGCTTGGACCAAAACCAACAAGTACTCTTCTTATGATTCTTGCCATTGCCAAGGGTCTTGCTGGAGAGTACCCGAATTTCACGGTCGGGTTTGTGCATATAGATGATGTGGTTGCTTCACATGTATTGGCTATGGAAGAGCCTAAAGCATCAGGGAGAATCATATGTTCGAGCTCCGTTGCTCATTGGTCTGAGATCATTGAGTTGATGAGAAACAAGTATCCTAATTACCCATTTGAGAACAAGTATTGATTCTCACTCTCATTAGACTTAACAAGATTTCATCATTTGGTTGGTTGGTTGATTGATTCTTTGTGTTTTCTTGCAGGTGTAGTAACAAAGAAGGGGATAATATTCCACATAGTATGGACACAAAGAAGATACATGAGTTGGGATTTGGTTCCTTCAAGTCACTACCTGAGATGTTTGATGACTGTATCATCAGTTTTCAGAAGAAGGGTTTGCTCTGAATATATAGCTTTCCATATATATATATATATATATATTGTGGATTCATGGAATCGATGTAGAAGAGTAACTGGTTTTTAATTTCTGCTTCTAGTAATAAGCTGGTTTTGATCAACTAATTGTTCTAATCTTGAACTTTTAAGCATTAGCCAAATGATCCAAGTAGCAAAAATGATGCAGTAATACTACTTTTGTGACAAGAGATTCACAAAAAGGATTTTAGTAGAAATTCTTTAAATACACTTACAAGTGTTTTTTACTTAATACAACTCACACAAGCTCAGGACAGCATCTCATCAACACTTGGTCTCATTATTCTTATTTGGCTATCTACACCCGACACAGCCTCACAGCTGAACATCTTCATTCAATTAATTATACATGAAAAATGCTATAATCAAGTTAATACATTGAGTCATCTAACTTGCATAGGACATTTAAGATCAAGCAATAAACATGAGAGAGACATTGCGAATTGCTTAAAAATCAAGCAAATGGGCTCTCTTCTAGCCGGAAACCTAATACATGACCAACATGGTTAAAAGACCTCAACAGAAAGGTAGTGACTTATAAGTCTTATACTAAAAAAATAATACAATCTCTCGCACTTGGGTTCATTATACTATATTGAAAGCTTTATCACAAGATCCTCTACTTTCATGTGCAATTCAACCTCTCGTTCTTATAGTAATCTCACGTGCTCTAGACATGCTTGACCGACCGCACGTACAGAAAAAGATATCACAAGAGCATGTGCAACCACAAAGTAGTGGGAGAGAGTGTTACTAATACAGTAATACCATACAAAAGTATACTACTACACTCCTCCTTTGACTTTTCCTTATTCCCAATCACCAACCTCTTTTTTATATAATTAAATTCCAAAATGCGATACAGCTGTGGTATAAAAAATATATATTTGGAAGTTAATAAGCAAAAAACCTGACAAAACCAAACTCCTCTGACTTGTTGCCACTTCCGTGTCTTCTCTTCTTTAATTCCCCCACTCTCCTTCACTACTCACTTACTATTCAACCTTTCTTTAAACAGAACAATAATGTAAGACTAATCAAATTTATATAAATGGGTTTTTTGTGATGATGCGGCGAATCAGCAGAGAAACAGTGACCATACCAAATTCATGCATTTGTCATTTTCCATCAGATTCTTTAGAATCGCAACACGTCAGAATCTAACTCCCAACTGGTATAGATGGATTAAATTGAAGGAAGACAAAGCGATAACAACTATGTCAAATATCAAGATTTATAAATAAGAACTTCGTTTCATTAATAACGTTTGTGTTCATCATTAACAAAAAGAGAACGATGTAATTAAAAACTGATAATGGAAATTATCAAACTCTTTCTTCAACTTTGGACGGCTCTAAAAAGCACAATGGAAAAACCCAAAGTGAAGAAGAGAGACCGAAAAAAACACAGAATCAGCAAAACATCATTAGAAAATAAACTCACTCCTAATTGCAAAACCCGGCCTTATGTCTTAAGATCTTACCACTCTCCGGAACACACACTTTTGTATGTCTTGAATACTAAAACATAAAAACGAATTAGAAAAAAAATGATGAAAAAGAAAGACTCTTCTCACTTGAAAACATTGAAGTAAGTATCCTATGAAGCTGCAAAACTTTTTAATGGGCAACCAATGTTGAGAGGGGCGAGTTGATCGAGAAAACCGAAACTAGAATCAGCTAGCTCTTCAACATCCGCAAAGTCGAAATCCGGCAATTCGCTTGGACCATCATCTTCGAATCCTTGAATGTCATCAAGCAAGCCAAAGCCATCAAACTGATCATCATTGAGTAAACAATCAAAGTCAAGGTCGTTCCCATTTGGACCATCCGCAAAGAAACCAAGATCAGGGATTTGTAGATCAGTGAAGTCGAAGTCGAACAGCAGATCCTTGTTTCCCCCAGCAGCAGCGTTTGGAGTTGGAGCAGTGGTCACTTCTTTAGAGACTTCAACAGTTGTGTTGACACTAGTGAGAGCTGAAGCTGAAGTTTCATCTTGCTCAACAGGAGCAACAGGTGAAGAACGAGAGCATTGACTCGTCTCAGATGAAGAAACAGCAGGTTTAGTCGACGCATTTCCAGAAACAGAGACGGAAGCCGCAAGTGCTTCAAACTCAATCTTCTTAACATCATAAGCCTTAGCAGCATCTTCAAGAGTATCAAAAGTACCCAACCAAATCCTATTTTTAGAGATGGGATGCCTAATCTCAGCAGCCCATTTCCCCCATTTCCTCTGCCTAACACCAACAGGCTTCTTAGTCAACACCATAGGACAAGCAGGAGTAGCTGACGCAGCTTTCTTGCTAACAGTTTTAGTACTGTCCTGAGAAGAACTCTCAGAAGGCTGCTCAGAAACTACCATAGACGGGAAGTTAATCTCACGAACAATACGCTTCACTTTCCGAACCTTAGGAACCTTAAGCTCTTCCTCATCGCTAGAGGAATCATCAGTAGCATAAGGATCATTGACAATGATACGGACTTTTCTCAAAGGTTGGGTTTCTTGAGGAAGGGATGATAAAGTGTTCCTCTTTTGTTTCTTCTTCATCTCCACACTAGTAGTACCACTCAAAGACTGATCTTTTCTAACCTCAACCATTGTTTATACCCCACTCCTCAATATACCCAAGAAAACAGAACGAACAAAAAAATCACTCAAAAGGTCAAAACTTTTTGTGAATCAAAAACTCAAAACTCTCAGCGAACTATGAAAAAAGAAAATTTTTGCTGCTTTATGTGAAAACCCCCAAAGACTTCAACACCAGAACAAGTCCTGTAATCAAAACAAAGCAATAAAATCTCAGATCGGGAGATACAAAAACGGAAGATGAGAAAAGGAGTGAAAGATAAAAAGAGAAAAAGATGAAACCTTTTGGGTCTTAAGCGCATGGAAAGAGAAGGAGTCTGGAGAACAAGCCTCTGCTTAGAGCAGAAGTGAAGAGCGTTGAGCAGACCAGATTTCAAAGAAGACGATGGCGTTGAAGAAGATGATGATGATGAATAAATCGGAGAAGAGAGATGAATCAAAGACAAAATCACAGTCGATTCAAACCCAGCCGACATAAATCAAAGCGTTATAAACGCCTTTTTGTTGGTTGATTACTCCGATTTAATCAAAACCTCCAAAAAAACCAAACTCTTCTTCCTTTACCCTGTTCTTCAAGAAAAAAAAAAAGACAAAGAGACAGACAAGAGAAAGTGAGAAACCAAATAAAACCCAAACAGCTAAAACCCAGAACCCTAGAGACAAGAGAGAAAGATAGATAGATAGATGGGTAAGAAACCTGGGGATGAGATTATTTTTTCTCTTAAAGAGTATATAAAAAAGAAACAAAGGATCCGTGACCAAATTTCACAGAGGAAAAAACAGTAAACAAGTGTTGTTACAAAAAAAAAATTATATAATTAAAAAAAAACAAAAGCTTTGGTTTTTACAAAATACACCAGAGAGACGACGCAAATCTCTAGAACAATAAACAAATCACAAAGAAGAAGAAGAAGAAGAGGAAGAAGATGAAAGTGATCTAACCTTGTTGGTGTGTGTTTCTTCTGATTCTCTCTCTCTATCTTTCTCACTTTAATTTTTTTTCTCTTCTGTGAATAAAAATGATAACTTTCACGCTCTTTATATTCTTGATTTACTGATTCATTTCCCTTTTTTCAATGACGGTCAAAAGAGAAGACCGACTTATAAGGAATATAAAATATTGTAACAGCCAGTAAAATGTTAGTATTAAAAAACAAAATAACTAAAAACTAGGAAAGAAATAAATAAAATAATAACCTTCCTTTGCAAGTTATTCCTAATTTATAGCAAAAATTACATTTAATATTTGACCCAACTAAATTAAAAAGATTCAATGTATAAAATTAAATCTTCGGTTTCTATAAACTTAAACATAAATAAGAGTACTAATTGATACAGACTACTACTGTTAGTGGCTGCTTTTGACTTTAATTTTTTTTGCGTTACATATTTTTTCCTGGAGTATTAAATAATTATAAATAAAATAATAATTTTCTCATTTGGGGAGACATATAAATATAAAAGTATGATTAAAATGCAAATATAAAGATTATTATGAGCTGGCATGGTGGGAAAGAAGTAGGGACAAAAAAGAAAAAAAAACATTAATGGCGCATGACTCTCTCTCTCCCTCCCTCTTTCTTACTCATGCATCTATCATGTCCTGCCTAAGAATCCTAGCGCGTGTTTCTCACTCTCTTTTTTTTTATATACTACTAATAAACAAATTTTACATTTTTAGTGTTTTGAATTTTTCTATAATTTTTTATTATTATATATGTGAGCTTATTTGGGTAAATATCTTTTTGTGTGTAAACTTATTTGGATATATATCTTCAAATCTTTCAGTTTTGGTATGGAATCTTAACTACATTTGGAATAATGTCTCATTCTAAATTTTTATTATATATATAAATTATAAAAATGGGGGTAATCTACTAGATTTTTACATTTTATAAAACTGAATAAAAAATAGTTCCATATTTAGTTTTAGATTCTGGTTGAATTTTAAATTATTTTGAGCTTAACCAAGTTGTAGTAGTCTAAGAACAAGCATCTCACGTTAGTGTCCACTACTAGGAATTGAGACTTATGAAAAGGGTTTATTTTTATGTAAAAAATGTTACGGAGTTAAATGAAAAAAAATCATAAAATTGAGATTGAAATTCCAAAATTAGAGAATCTTGAGCGTTGTTATAAAAATATAAATTCAGAAATAATGCATGATATGAGTCTTGACTTTCACTCACTATAATTAGTATATACTTCAATATAGTGAGAATTGTTAAATCTTCTAAACAAAGTAGTGAAGTGGTCGTGGAACAAACGTATCAGAAGTTAAAAAATAAATAAATCAACAAAGCTGTCAATTTTAAGGAACAGCATCATATAGTTTATCTCTCAAATGGAGGTGTGGAACGAAACTGCTTAATTTTAAATAGTAAACTTTGGTATTAGATTTAGCAAAGAATGTTTATGACACATGCGACACGTGTACGATAAAAAGATCCTTCCTATGTTTTGCTTCAAGCTTACTAAAAGCGAGTTTTAGTAGTACTATCATCAATCATACACAATTAACCTCATAACAGTAATCATAATACCTTTTTATTCTTTGGTAAAAGTGATAGTGAAATCAGGAAGATAAGAAGAACTTACAAAAGAAGAATGTATTTGTGAATATGCAAAAACCTAATAGTCTATTTTTCATTCGTATTATATAACCAATGATTAAAGATGAAGTTAACCTTTTATCTTATCAAATTTATTGTAAAAATTGGGGTTCTTTCATTTTTTATTCGGTATTTGTACTAAGGCGAATAAACATTTAAGAAATCCACGATAAAACTCGAGTTAGATTATGGTATTCACTTTTTGTATATATTTGATTCAAAGTTTTGGATTTAGATAATTGGGTAAAGAAATTATAACTATTCAATTCGATTTTTGATAAAATAGATGTCAAATTTTGATCGATTTCATATCGGTTTTTGAAAGGAAAAAAAAAACTAAAAATCCGTTTAATTTTAATACGACTTAAAGATGAATAATTCATTTTTTTTGTTTTATCTTATTGTATTTATCATTAAGACTTGCAAATTTCTTAACGATGTATGTATCTATCTAGATGTGTGACAAAATTTAATGAGGGCCACGAACATGACCCTATATAATAATAACTAGCAAATCTCTATATTAAAAAGATTAGTAAAGAGAGAATCTAAGTGTGTATGGCTATGGCATGTGAGAAGCACGTAAGAAGAAGAAACATGGACTCATCGCCACCTGCCAAGTTCGCAGAGGACAGAAAGGGTTCTGTAATGGTCCTTTGCACTGTACTATCACGTGACCTCCATAAAAAGTGTACTATTCATTCCAAAATCCAAATCTATTAATATTTTTTATTATAACATGCATCATGTTAGCAAATGTTTTTTTTTTTTTTTTTGGTTGTCACGTTACGAAATTGAATGTTCTTTTGGGTGTGTGATAAGACGTTTTTTTTTTTTTAATTAAAGATGTGTTAGGTCAGTGCATGCATTCATGATCAACAACTCTCTATTTGTAGTAATTTAGTCTTAATTAAGCAAAAGCTAATTGATTTTTAAAATTGCCAGATAATTTCTTTAATTAGCTTAGTAGTAATCACTCATCTCTGGAACACACTGCACATTCTGCACGTACGTACCATAATTTTCCTTTCAAATTACGTCGAATCAAGAAAATAACTTTATTTGTGTTTGGCTTTTTGATTTCCGACCGTAAGAAATTTTGAACTTCTCTTTTCTATGTGAAGTGTGTTAGCTATGTATAAAACATTGTTTCAAACTCAATATGATTTTCATTGAATCTTTTGTGAAAACGCTAAAAACGACATTTTAATGCATCACCACGATTGTTATTTGAAAGAACTATCACCGATATCAAAAAATAAAATTAAAAAGTATCATCAACTTAACACTTGTTCATATACAACACACTTGCACAAAATCCATGATTTCATTTGTAAGAATAAGCAGTTTTCATGTTAAAAAAACAAAAAAAAAGTATTAGGATTTTAGCCGTCTCCAAATTTTATTAAAATACAAATTATCATTATAAATTTTCAAAGCAATCAGATTTTTTCTTTTTGTGAAAAACAAGTTTTCGTTGTTGAGACTTTTCGTTTTTCTAGATTTTTTATAACCTCTATAAATTAATATTTGATATAAAATAATATCACAAACAAAAATTTATAGATTTCTGTAACCGTAAATTAGCTTTTTAATTTCATTAGTACATCGATAACTAATAAAATATTAGTATTCATCTTAGTATGTGTTCACTATAACAACGGTACCAATCAACTGAATACAAAACGAAGGCTGAAAATATACAAAATGTTACAAAGTAGCGATCACAAAAAGCCCCATACTAAACGGCGGTTTGGTTTTGGTGTAAAGGTCGGCGGCTGCTTTGCATAAAGACCATAATAAACAAAATAAACAAAATGATTAGTCGGTTAACTTATACTAATAATTTAAATTTTTACTTTAATGAAATTTTCTATTATACGAAAGAAAAATAAAACAATATTATAAATAAAAAAAAGGACGAAGAAGGTAAAAGTGGGGGCACGTAAACGGTGGCGCGTGGCTCGAAGCACACACCGCCGGTCCACTCTTTGTCCTCTGTACTCTCTTCCTTTTTCTTTTTTTTTCCCGCCATTATCAATTTCCCCGCCCAAAAACTGTTAAGCCACACCTAACCATCTCTCATCTCCTGCCACGTCATCAACCCCCGCCACGTGTCCTTTTGTCTTGTGCGATGGGTCTCTCTGTTTCTTCTTCTCTTAGCTCGTTTCCCAACGTTTACACCAATTTCTTACTAATTTCATTTTTTTACCATTTTCTTTTTCTGATATGATGTGAAATGTGGTCAAAACTCCGAAACAACCTTATATTATTAACAAAAATATGTTTTAACAGTATTATTATTCATACTACTTTGCCTAGGTTTATAATTCGTTACGATATTACCTATCAAATAGTGTGTGTAAAATAATTGTGAACATTTTTGACAGAGCTATAACAATAATAAACGAAGTGTGTGAAGTATAAAGCCGACAAGTTTGATGATGATAGATTTCACAAAAGTTGTTGGAGAGTAGCAGTGGAAACTTCTTTCCCCCACCTCTCTAACCATGACTATGTACAGTCTCTCACTTCTTCTTTAGCTACAGAAATTTAAACTAATACCTAAGTTTAATTACAATAACGACTTGTCAAAAGGGTGCAAACAGTAGTATGATAAAATTATTGATCCATGTGTGTGTGTGTGTGTGTGTGATGAGCAAATGAGAATATTAAAAGTCGTAGAGGCTTTGTTGTGGGCTGGACTTTTCACCTAGGCTTTTTGGAATTAGTTGAGAGAGAGAGTCTCATAGATCTTCGCCTAACTTTTTGTTAGATTCTGTTGTTTTTATTACAAGATTTTAGCATGTGTTTTTCTGATAAGGACATAGACCATCAAGAGGGCGACAAGTTTAATAATTTATGCTAGTATGCTACTTTATGTTAGCCAATGGTTGGGTATGAGAAAAACCTTCTCATTCGACCGTTACATGACATATTCAAGCGATTGCGTCATCCTTCCTTAGGTACGAAGATTTAAGCGAACGAAATGTGTAAGAACATATCAACATGATGATGACACAAGGATACAAGAATTAGAACATAACTATACGACATTTAATGGTGAGTTGAGTTGGTTACACAATATGCAATTTCGACAGATAAATTGTGGACATGGAGTAGTAAATGTTGAGATACATATAATAATATTGTTGTCAAGTTATTATCTCACAGTTACTGTGGAAAGTGTTAGTCTGACGATCAGTAAGTCTGATCACCTAATTCTATCAGTGATCAGTAATATAACAAAGCCTTGTACGATCAAGTA